GGAGGGGAGGGGGCGGGGAGGAGGGGATGGAGCTATCCACGGAGGCAGCAGTGCAGGGACCCAGCTTGAGGCAGGGGGGTTCCCTGCAGTGGGCAAGAAGAAGCCAAGCAGCAGCTTGGATGGGGAACAAGGGGATTGCTGTTCAGTTGTTAGGTAGTAATCTTTTACCTCGGACTTCTAGGCAATGCTAGACCGAAGTCGAAAATGATCTTTGGTGTGCTTGTTTTTTTGTGAGAAATTAAATGCATGTAAAAGTAATGGCTGCAAGAATCCTGATTTGGTTGTGTTAGCCACTGATTCAATCAGTGCTTATTGCTCAGGATGCAGTCTCATAATGAAGCTAAGCTAAATAAGATCTACCTGTGAAAGTAGATCTTCTCCATCTACCACCAGGGCACACTTCCAGGACTAGTCCTGCCCATCATTAAACCAGTTCAAGAAGCTAGCTATGCATATTAACCACTTATGAAATAAATGAATGTCTTTTTCTGCTCATTTGGCCTTCTGAAATGTTTCACTAACCAGTGCTAGTGCTGGCGACAGGGGGAGGTGGGAATGCAGAGGCAAAGGAGAGAAGAGTAGGGATTGGACCTGCTCTTTTCTGAGAGGTAGGTATTATATTGTTTTAGCTGAAGTGTGAAACCATGCCTTCAGACTCCTTTACTCTGTCAATATAGTAAGTGAGAAGAACAATGCCATATACTCATTCTGAATTAGTCTACAGTGGGATTTAGCTGCCTACTAGCATGAAAGCCAAAAATCCATGTCACAGATCTACTTTAGGTGTTTTTATTTTTTTTCAGAACATTATATTACAAGTTTCCTATTATTAGTCATCCTTTTATCAGGTATTTCTAATTGGTTAATTATTTCAGGTGTAATGTACCAATACTATATTTCAAGTTTCTAAAGTTTTGTAAGCATCTTCTCTGAATATGTCTGGATGTCTGGCCCGTATATTCTTATCAGAAAATACTATATGTCTTATGTCAGCCTCTGTTAGTTTTTTGATGGACTACGAGCATCCCACCTGTTAGTCTGTTATCTGTTTATCAGTCATATTCTCAAAAATTTCATAACTTCAGTTTTACAGCTACAGGGGCTAACTTCCTAGTTTTTCGTGCCAATGGAACATTGCTTTAACCTGTGTGAAGTGCCCTGTGATGGTACAGTATTATTCTCTGTGTGTTGCAGATAGAAGTTCAAGAAAACCATAATCTTATTCTGTGATTGATACTCTATATCACTGCTTGTATTGCAACTATTTCTGCATTTTCAGACATCACAGCTATGAAAGGGACTGAGAGAGGCCATCTAGTACATCACTCTGCACAGGAAAATTCTTTCCTCGTGTAACTCCGGACAGATATTTATCTGTTTTGTCTTTTTAAAGACTTCCAATGATAAATATTGCTTAGGCCATCTATTCCAATGCATCGCTGTCCTTACTGATAGAAAGTCTTTCTTGATAGTTAATGTGAATCTTCTCTATTCAAGGTAAACCTGTTATTTCCTATCTTTCCTGGATAGTGAAAAAGTTTTTTCCCTTCCTGTTTGCACCAGCCTTCTACATGTTTGAGCACTGAACATCTCTCCTTTGTATCACCTCTTTCAGGGGAAACAACTCAACTTTTTACCCTACCTTTTCTCATAGGGCATGTGTTCTAGATCTTCTGTCAGTCTTGATTCTTCCTCTGAATTCTGTTTAGTTGGTTTGTGTTTGAAATGCCGTTTGTAACAGCGATAGTTCTTTAACAGTGTTACCAGTGCACGTTATCACTTTGAGTCAGGAAATCCTGCAATTTTTAAACAACTAATGTCTTTAATATAGCAAAGCAGCCTCCATCTATTTTGCCACTTTTATTGTTGCTAACCTGGTTAGAACCAATGGTTTCAATAATAAACTGGTGCAGATAACGGATATGGTTTCTAATGCAGCTCCGTGTAAGTTCATAGGTAGAATTAGAGACTATCCTGGCAGACAAGAAGGATCACAGAATTGTTTAGGTTGGAAGGGACCTCTGGAGATCATCTAGTCCAACCTCCCTGCTCAAGCAGGGTCCTCTAGAGCATATTGCCCAGGATCACATCCAGACGGGTTTTGAATATCTCCAGGGAAGGAGACTCCACTACCTCTCTGGGCAACCTGTTCCAATGCTCTGTCACCCTCACAGTGAAGAAGTTTTTTCTCAGGTTTAGGTGGAACTTCCTGTGGTTCAGTTTCTGCCCATTGACTGAAGCAAGGAAGGCATTCAGTAAATCTGCCTTCTCCGTATCCTTCGTTACCAGGGCCCCCGCCCCATTCAGCAGTGGGCCCACATTTTCCCTAGTCTTCCTTTTGCTATTGATGTATTTGAAGAAGGCCTTCTTGTTGTCCTTGACATCCCTTGCCAGATTTAATTCCAACTGGGCCTTAGCCTTCTTTGTCGCATCCCTGCACGCTCTGACAATGTCCCTGTATTCCTCCCAAGTGGCCTGTCCCCTTTTCCACATTCTGTAGACTTTCTTCTTCTGTTGGAGTTTTGCCAGCAGTTCCTTGCTCATCCATGCAGATGATGAACAGGGCTTAGCTGAATATGTTATTCAGTTATTGAATAGAGTTATTGAATGCTGCCTTTGCTTCAGTCTTCGCTGCTAAGGCCAGTCCTCAGGAATTCCAGACCCTGGGGAAAAGAGAGGAAGGCTGGAGGAAGGAAGACTCTCCCTTGGTTGAAGAGGATCGGGTTAGAGATCTTTTGTCCAAACTTGACATCCATAAATCCATGGGCCCTGATGGGATGCACCCGCGAGTGCTGAGAGAGCTGGCGGATGTTATTGCTAGGCCACTCTCCATCATCTTGGAAAGGTCATGG